AACACTTTTTTTGTGTGGAGAACTCTATCTTGTATTTCTAGTATCTTTGTCATAATGTAACAAAATGTGGTGATTTAGGGAGGCATTTACCCATAAGGCAAAAATGAAGTGTATGGTGGTAAAATTAAATGGTTCAAAATCACCCTAGCAGAATGAAACTCATTTCTGAATTGTGAAAGGTTATTTAGAATGCAAGCTATATTTGAGTGATATTTCTTCAGGAGAATACAGTTTTTAATAGTACTGTAATGATAAATAATAAATCTTTATTTGTCCTCAAATGTAATTAAAAGCATGAAATTTGGCCTGGGGACCCACACCAGCCACAGTGTAGCGCTATCTGATTTAAACTACAACATACAACCAATACAGTCATAGTCAATCAATTAATCAATCGTTCCATTTAAATGGCACCATTTGAACTGTCATTGCTCGTGGTGCCGTTTCAAAAAAGAGATTATTAAAAAAGATCCTCAACTTGTTTTCCACTAGGCAATATTATTTGCGCGAATCAAAAGCATCGGTTTGCTTCTTTGGCTCTGATTGGTTGCAAATTTTGTTTTGCTTCGCAAAAAGTAGAAATAGTTTGAAATACTGATTTCGCTGAAGCATGAAGCGAAATGTGAAGGCGCATGAACGATACTTTCAATTCGCACAAATAAATTTGCCTAGTAGAAGACTGGCTTAACTCTTCTGAAACTTAAAGGGTTATTCAAGGAGCTGAGCATAAATAAAGACCCGAATTCAATACTCGGCCGCAGAGCCAGGTCTTGAACCCAGGCCCTAACGTGCAAGAGACAGGGACCATAACAATCAGCGAAATGCTCAGCTCAGGAGGATGGATTAGGTGCTACAGTATATAAATATTAGTAATTATTATCATTATTATTGTTGTTATTATTATATGATCATTTCAATTTCTTACACTAATTCTTAAATCCCAAATTTAACCATGAAAATTGAACCAAAAAAAAAAAAGTTTAATGTTTATATTTTAAGAGGTTAATAATATGACTTAATATTTGGCCAACAGTTATCCCGAAGCACTGACCGACCCAAGTTATAGAGGCCAAATACTGACCTTGACGTACCCGCTAGTAGGTAACTATGGAGTCCCAGATACAACCGCCGTGGATGAGATGGGTCTCATGAAGTATGTTGAGTCAGAGAAAATACATGTAAGTCAACACATAAATAAAGCTCATCTATTCTTGTATATTTATTGATTGGAAAGGGTTTATTTTATAACACTATTAACAGGAGTGATTTGCCCATTTAATAGTAAGGGCTATGGCGACGACATCTTAATAACGTGCATTATAAAATGTATTTTTTCTATGCACTGGATGAAAATTGCAACCATATTGTTATTACTTTTCCTGCTGTAAATTTTGTTAACTATTGTTTATTTTGAAACCAATTTTTATGTTCATCCAACCTATTATTGTTATTAATACAGTAATGAATTGAATGTAATTAAAAATAATGAAAACAGATGGGATTTGAGCAAGGACAACTTTTACTTGTTTTTTTGTCGACAAACAAAACAGTCAGGAATGATATGTAGATTTGAAACCCATGCTGCTCAAATAACTAATGCACTTTATGAGCCTTGAGATATGAAGCTTTTGATTTTTTTTGATACTTTGATTTTTTTTTCTTTATATTTATGATAAATGGCTTGAGCTTTCTAATATAGTGAGTGTGTCAGTGTTATGGATGAACTGCATTTCCTTTCACTGTACAAACACATGAAAGTCGTACACATAAATGAATATGACAGGAAGTGATTTTATCAGTATACCAAGAGATAATCCCCTACCTTTTTTCCAAATAGTTTACCGAGATCATTTTAGTGGAGAAAGTTATACACGACAAATAACTTTGTGGTCACTTCCACAGAACGATTTAATTAGCATTTTGTCTAACCCAAAGACATAGTAAAATTTGGTTTGGACAGATTTTAAATCCAGGAAACATGTGCAAATTTGACCTAATCCTTTACTGTGGTCATGTAGTAGCAGATATAATGCATTGAAGCCCGCATAGATACTACACAAAATGTTAATGTATGCGAAGCTTCCATCACAAATTTTGTTAATACATACATCTCTGTTACACCAAAATTATTGAACTATAGTATCGAATAAGTTGCACCCTCCAATTTGAGACCCTGTAATATCCAAACCCCTCTTATCCAAGACCACTTTTTTCAAAGAACTAAATAACAATTTTCAATACCTATACAAAGCTAACCCTCTAATTGGAGGCAACCTCAATACCACCCCATATTTTTAGAGGTCTCCAGTGGAGGGCAATCTACTAGGTTCTGTAGGAAAAAAACAAGATCTTACTGCAAAATTTAAACACAAAATTTATATTGGTTTTAGGTGACTGGTTTGCTGGTGCAGGACTATTCTCATGAGCACAGTCACTGGAATTCAGTTAAGTCATTATCTCAGTGGCTACACGATGAAGGTATTCCAGCTCTCTATGGTATAGACACTAGGATGCTGACAAAGAAAATAAGAGATATGGTAATTATTGTCTATTGAACTGGGATATAAATTGATGTATTTATTAATAATTGTTATCAAATGAGATTTAATTTGTGCTTTATTTATTGCAAAGCTTATTTTAGCTTTTACAATTTATATAGATTATTTTAATTAAATTTTCAATGAGTAAATGTTTTATTCATCACCTCAATTGTATAGTATTTTTAGCCAATATTTTACTACTAACTTTGCTCTTAATTCAGTGATTTTATGTTTATATTTTTATTTCTGATCTGAATAAGAATAAACCTCTATTATTGTTGTTAATGTAATTGTTATTAACTATTAATTGTTATTAATTATTAATGTTATTATCATGTTTGTTATTATGATGATTATTATTATGATAGTTACTTTTAATGTGATTATTTATATGATAATCACGAATTAACAGACACTTACTATAGTCTGAAAACAAAATTTAATGATAAAAAGGGTCAACGTTTCGGGTGATGGACATGGAACCATTTTCAAGTCAAAGGCAAATTGTTTATCTAGTTAATCCGCTAAGAGGGGCCAGCGTAGCTCTACACAGTAGGCCCTATTGATAAATTTTACTTAATTCCTGTCAATTTTTTTGGTGTATCTGGTTGTTAAATCATTCATTTAATCTTGAAAATGGTTTCATGATGTATCCAAAATGTTATCCTTTTTGTCATTTTTTTTAAAATAATTGTTGTAATCATTTGTTTATTTAAGGAGGGTAGCCCATTCAACATGCTGATTAGTCGGGGCCCTTATGTTATGATTTTTGTGATCATTATGATTACTTACTCCCCGCCACCCTCCCCTTTTTTTTTTTTTTTCAGGGAACCATTTTAGGGAAAATTGAATTCGAAGGCCAGCCTCTTGATTTCGTTGATCCAAATAAACGCAATTTAGCAGCAGAAGTCTCCACAAACAAAGTCAAAGTATATGGTGATGGTAACCCGTATAAAATCCTTGCTGTCGACTGCGGAGTGAAACATAACATTATACGAAGCCTTGTAAAAGTAAGGCAATTTGTCAGTTTTGTATGTATAAGGCATGTTTAATAATTAGTCTAACAAATTGAGAATTGCTACAGGGAGGCTACTGTCTTACCTTTTTCTTTAATGGACCTTTCCACTAAGCTCTGCCCCTTGGATATTGTTGCTATGGTCCCACAAAACAACAGGCAAAAACATTCGCAAATATGTGTGTGTGTGTGACAACGTGTGCTTGTGAGACGTGCATATTCCTGGCCCTGTTCTGAATGGTCGGTTAAGTTTTGTTGACACTCGGGAAACGTCTGTTGTCGTCGGATTTGATGCTTGGAATTGGCTTCATTTCTTAAAATTGGCACATTTTACATATCTGATGTACTTGTACAAGCATAATTAATCTAATAATAAACGATGATAAATGTGTTTTGACATCTAACAATTAATAAAGATTTGGCCAAAAAATGAAGTTCTAATATTTTGCAGCGAGTTGAATGTCCGAGCGAATAGCAGGGGCGCCTCAACCTACAGCCATAATAACGGCGCTGGTTCGAACAGCATGTTGGCCTATGGTTCTGATGGTAGAGCAAGTCTTCTCGGATAAGGACTATAAAACGTAGGCCCAGTGTATACAATGGCTTGTGTGCACTATAAAGAACCCAGTACATCATTTGAATGAGTAGGGGATACCCTGCTGTACTGGAACAGACATCCTGTATGAAGGATGACGAGAGTTGCTGGTACCGGGTAACCAGATAGCACAGACACGAAGGGACTCTTAGGAAGCGAAGAAAGCCATTGATCAAATTCCTAGTCCACATATCAAGCGCCATGATTATCTTGCTTGATGGATACTGGCGCTATATAAAACTGCACTATTATTACTATTATTTATTATAAAATACAGTGATACTGGCTAAAAACATAAAACGCATTGTCCCCATTGAGATTCCAACTGAAGGCCGTCCAAGTATATATATATATATATATAAAATGCTTTAGTGTTATGTAAAAACTTGACTTCTTCATAAAATTTGTAACAAAAGACCTTCCAATTATTATTCAGTTGCTCTACCTACTAATCTATGAGTCCAGGTTGATATGTTCTTGATTGGGCATTGTTTTTCACAATAATTATGAAAATGATATTGAGCAAATTTGTACATATTCGTATTGATTGTGATATCTTAATACTGCAGAGGGGAGCGGAAGTTCACTTGGTGCCGTGGAACCACGATGTAAGCAAAGAAGTATATGATGGTCTATTTATATCGAATGGACCAGGTGATCCGTCACTCATGGATGAAGCTGTCAATCATCTTCGCAAGGTAAGATTCTTACTGTAGGTAACAAGAGTTAAATAATAATAATGAGGATCACAATGATGATGTTGATGAAAATGATGTAATAATTTTAGTAATGATGGTGATGCATAGGTTAAAGTTATGCAGGCCATTAGGACACTTAATCTCTATCCCAAAATGCATAGTTTGTTAGGTTAGGGTATATGTAGGTAATTTGACCTTCAAGGAGTGGCATCCCTACCCCAGAATGTAGTTATTATTGTTTGATTAGTTTCATGGCTTACTTTGCTTTTATTGTGAAATGTTAATTTGTTAGATGCTTTGGGAAATATTGACACATGAAAAAAAAATGAAATTAAGTTTGAACAAACTGACAATAATTATGACAATGATGGCAGTAATAATGAAGATAATTATAGAAAAGATAAAGTGATGATGATAAAAAATAGTTAATAGTAATGATTTGAACATTATAAAGAAGCCAAATATGACGACGATGAAGACAGTGACGACAATAGGAATAATGATGACGATAATAGTGCTGGTAATTATATAGATTATTATAATAGCAATAACTCATGATTATGTTGCTAATGGCGATAATGATGCTTTTGCTGATCTTTTGTGTTTTGAGAAATGCTAGCATCATCGCATCACAAACATTGTATCAGCCGTGCATATTGGCAATTTACATACAGTATCTCTGTTGAATAAATGATATTGATAAGTTTGGTTTTGTGGTCATTATAATATTAAAGGGTAGGAACAAAAAGCTATTGAGCATGCTTTTTTCAGCATTTTTTGGCTGTAGGTGTTTATAAATCTTTAATAATTATATTAACTTGAATGCTAGCCATTGACGACATTTGATTTGTTATATTGTAAATAGAACACTGGACATCTTGTTATCTTGTGTTTAACTCCTTATATGATCTTTGCAGGTTATTGAAAATGACGTCCAGAAGCCACTGTTTGGCATATGTATGGGTAACCAGCTAACAGGCTTAGCTGGTGGAGCCAAAGCTTATAAACTTGCACTTGGAAACAGGTAAACTAATTATTTAGCTACAATGCAATATTGAATTTATAAGAAATGATGAGATTAATTTATATAAATATAAAAAATAGAAAATAAATAAATTTATCAAGGTCATTGTATATTAACTAACCAGCCCTATAATCAATTACTAATATCTGTAGAGGTATATTTTATTTATTTTTTATTTTTTCAGAGGCCACAACCAGCCTGTTATAAACATGCTTAATGGGCAAGCTTTTATAACATCACAGAATCATGGATTTGCTATCGATGCTGACACGCTTCCAGATGGATGGAAACCAATATTCAAGAATGCAAATGACTTGTCTAATGAGGTAAATACATAAACAATAATATCAGCAAATATTTCATCAATTGGCGAGTCAGTCAATTATCAATTTCAGCCCAAGGGATGGGAAGGTCGACTGTAATAGTAAAATAATTAACAACAACAATACCAATAGTACAGTATTAATAAATCCTTTATCTACTTCACATTTTAAAGAAAATAGCCTTTGGAAAGTAAAAATATATAAGAAGTGATAAAGATGGTAAAGAATGGACAATGATAACATAGATAACAATAATCCCATTGACAGTCATAGAGGACAATGGTTACCGAGAATGGTGTCTGTAATGATAATGTTGGAGAGGATAGTAGAAAAGAAATGGTGATAAATATGAGAATAATGATGTGGAAAAGAATTATGCCTCTAATGATAAAAATGAGGATAATGAAGAGAATTTTGATATAAAGAAGAATGATGCATATAACTATGATGATAATGATGGTAATAGAGGAATATAATAAACAGATAAAAAGAGTAACACTGATGATCAATATATCGAGGACAAGGATGGAGGAATGGTATCGTAGATCGATAGGTTGATACAGCTGGATATTTTAAAGCCGATATACTGTAGAAAAATAATTTAGTGTTGCAAGATTTTTCTCTTGGCCAAACAACTTTACTCCCTAAGGGAGTTTGTGTGTATGTTTGTGAAAGGAATTTCATCCACTTGTAGGACAATGACATACATTCGCTATTGGTAATCCTTGGCGCATGTGTGTGTGAAAAAAGAAAAAGGAAAGTAATATCAGATAAGTGACAACCAGCTCCAATCATATGACCAGATTGAATGGTGTCTTCCCATATAATAAAAACAATAAAGCAATGGCTATGATTTTTCAACATAGGGTATAATGCATGAAACCAAACCAATTTTCACAGCGCAGTTTCACCCTGAGCATAAAGGAGGACCGACGGATACAGAGGTAAGATTAGAAACTGCGGATTGACAAGCAGACAAATGAGAATTATGGAGAAAAATCAGCATTATTATTATTTTATTAATTATAGAATGTATGCATTTCAGAGAGTTGTTTTGTTTTGTATGTTCAATAGTGATGAGCTAATGTGTGTTTACAATAATTTATTCCAGAGAATCGTAAGCAAATGCATTGGAGATGCTGAAGTAGTCAAGGATACTAAATATTAAAGATTAAAAGAGAGTGGAGAGAAAATGATAAATATTATGAACTTTTTAATTTATTAATTTGAATATTGTGTTATTTTTCCATCAGTTTTTATTTGATACATTTATGGATATGGTGAAGATGGGTAAAACTGACATCACCTCTTCAATGAGTGCGATGAGGGTGAAAAGACCAGAGAAAGAACAGGTAAAAATGAAATGTCCAGGATACGAGAAATTGTATTGCCTCTGTAAATTTAGTTATGAATTTAAGACATTCATTTAACTAGTGTATAGTAATAGCAACAAAGTTTATAGGAAACAGCTTAGAAGCTAATTTTGGCAATACACTGCATATTTCATAAACACAATACACTGCATATATCATAAACACAAAATATACAACTTATGAAGAGGAATTTGTAATTCCTATAGTTTAAATCTTGGAAATTCCAGGATTTTCAATTAAACTAAAATAAAAAATTCACTTCTGTATAGGACTGTTGCAGTTTAATATCTTATATAATTAAATCTATGTATTCATGTTGCAGTTTAATATCTTATATAATTAAATAAATGTATTCATGACTGCTCCTAAATATTTTAAAAGCATTGTGTCAAATGATGTTCTGTCATGTCCAGGACTTTGTTCCAAAATGGACACATTAACGTTATCCATTCCAAAAACCCACCTAAAGTCGGATCCAAAAGGCTTCTTTGCACAAGCACCATTGATCTGGAATCGCCTTCCGTTTCACATCCGTCAGTTTAAGTCCAACTCACTTGTTTCAATATATTGTTGGTCTTAGAGTGCTGTGAGACAGCAGTATAAGAGCACTATATAAATGCTCAATATTATTATTATTATTATTATTATTATTATTATTATTATTGTTATTATTATTATTATTATCCTGAATTGTGAAATTCATTTAAAGGGTTGTGTCAAAATATTTTGGGTTTATAGTACTGCAATCCCCCTATCATCTGCCTACCTAATTCATGGTAAGTTATTGTCATCGACGAGGCTAAATATGTAATTTTTATAAAATGGTGATAGACTACAGCACCTTTTTCTACGAAATTTAAAACCCCACATGCTGTGAAGTGTTTTATCTATGCTGTTTTGCTTGCAGGTTTCAAAGGTGCTTGTTCTTGGCTCAGGTGGATTGTCTATTGGACAGGCCGGTGAGTTTGATTACTCAGGATCCCAAGCAATTAAAGCTTTGAAGGTAAGAAGTGTTTGAAAGTGACACTTGTTCTTACAGAGAAGTAGACATACCAATTGAAGTGACGATAAACTATTAATCTGCCTACATAAACTGCAAAGTTGAAAATTGTCATTTTATTTTCAATGCCACTTTGGTTTTTCGGGTTACTTTCAATGATAAGTGCTTGCTGTAACTTAAATAGCTCTAAGTCAGATAAAATAAAAATCAAACTTAATGTACATGCCAAGTTGTTCTGTTATGTATCATAATTTTATTCTTGAATTTTGCATAATGACACAAATCATCAAAGCACAGTCAATTCACCAATCAGTGTTATTTCCCATTCAAGGATTATTCCATTTATCATTCAGGATATAGTATATGTCCAAAGGTTGGTGTTCAGTTCCATGAATAGTCTAATATTTCCCTTTGGTTAGTCTGTTATTTCCCTTTGATTAGTGGTGGACAATTATTCAATAAACTTTGTTTGTCTCTGTTGATGCCATGTGGTGTCTAAGAAACTAAATATACAATTATTATTCTAATTGTAGGAAGAAAATGTGAAGACAATTTTGATGAATCCCAACATTGCATCAGTACAGACAAATGAATATGGCGAGAAGCAGGCTGATAAGGTGTATTTTGTACCTGTAACACCTGATTTTGTTGAAGATGTGATTAAACGTGAGAAGCCAGATGGCATCCTACTCTCAATGGGAGGACAGACAGCTCTGAACTGTGGAGTTGAATTGCACAAGAAAGGAATTCTTGATCAATATGGTGTCAAAGTAAGCTTAATTAGCTTTTTTTTAAATTTATATGCTTTAATCAATGAATGTTTTTTTTTTAATCAAATCAGTGAATATAGAAACTTACATATTACTTGACAGAAACCAACTGATTTTGAAGCTTTAAAAAGTGAAGTTGAAAATAGTCATTGCCTGGTCTTTTTCTTATTAACTGAACTTTTGTTATTTTTTTATTAATATTTTATATTGTTAGAATTTTAAACATTAAATGGTTATTGAAATAATAAAATAATTTATTAAAAGTTTGATAATGTAATATAAATTTTCAAATATTATGTAAATATATAATTTTTCCACAGGTTCTTGGCACGTCAGTTGAATCAATCATGGCCACTGAAGATCGTCAAACTTTCAATGACAAGCTCATGGAGATTGGTGAAAAGATTGCTCCAAGCATGGCAGTCGAAACAGTTAGTTTTTTGACATACACAATTACATGTACATTTTTTTTTGTATACATGTACATGTATAAGAGGGTACTGCATTAAATATGTTGTAGCACTAAACTGTGTGTGGTAATACATCAATGAAGGGGTTGTTATCCACTTAAATTATTGTTATTTGGGAGACTGGAAAACATTGTTATCTTACTTGAGAGAATGCCGGCTTAGATAGATACAATCCAAGATTTATCTGTTAGATGGAACACTTGTGCAGAAAGTCGACCTAGCAGTAATAATTGTAGTAGTAATTATTTATTGCGATAATTTTATTAAAATTATTGTGAGTATAGATACATTTGTGTTATGGAAGGGGGTGTATTGCTAGATGCTTGTGATGATGAAGTTTCAGTTCACCTATTGACTGATTTTTAATTTTATTCTTACATTTTTACATTGTTACTTATTTTATGTTGAATCTGGACCTATTGGGAGACCAGTACATATGTATTGAAATAGTACTTCCAGAATAAAGAAAGATTTGGTTTCATTTGATTTAAGTTGGAAGATGCATTATCTGCAGCAGATAAAATTGGGTATCCTGTGATGGTAAGAGCCGCATACGCTCTTGGAGGCCTAGGCTCAGGCCTGGCTCCAGACAAGCCACAACTCACCAAAATTGTTGAACAGGTAAGGCTAACAATTGTACAATATCTAGTTACATTGCATGCTTTCAATTCATATGATCATCTATTCTTTATTCATTAATTTTTCACCTTTCATTCCATCGCATCATAGGCCCTTGCATTATCTAATCAAGTTCTCATAGAGAAGTCACTCCTTGGTTGGAAGGAGGTAGAGTACGAGGTTGTCCGAGATATAGCAGATAATTGCGTCACTATCTGCAACATGGAGAACTTTGACCCTCTTGGTATACACACAGGTAAAAAAATTACCTTGTTGCTAATTGTGTATTTTCCCTTGAAGAAACTGTTTGATTTATTCATTTTCCTATAGTTATTACTGTGTCATTAAAGTTTGTAAATGAAAAGTTGAAACTGGAAAACCGTAAGCTTTTAGGACAAGTGTGTTTCTTTTGAAGCTGTGTTCAGACTATCAAATTTGATTTAATGAAAACATGTGACTTGCCTACTGTAAATATGGTCACGATGACTTCATATCATGACCATATATAGGCACATCATGACTATATATGGGCATACAACAGCCTTGTTGTCAACATTTGGACAGAGCTTTAAGTTTGAACAACTTTACCACTGTTCTGCAGCTTCCTTTACATCACATGTATTAGTTACTCTACACATGCATAAAACATTTTCATAAATATTGGAATAATTTCCAATATTTAATGTTGATATACGAAACTTTGCAAGTACATATTTTTAGTAGTTTACTACAAAGGAATTATACTAACAATAATACCATAGATTGATGCAAAACTCTTCTACGAACTAATCCATCACTCGTAGATTCAGAATATTAGCATGTTTTTACTAATGTCAGCTGACCATGGGTACAGCCAAATGTAAAGTGCATGAATAAAGTTCATCAAACCACATTTCGCTAAAGAAAGTGGCTTATTTTTAACCCTGTTTTTTACTATGTGAATTTTTTTTGTGCGAATCAAAGCGTCGGTTTGCTTTCTGAGCTCGTGATTAGTTGCGAATTTTCCGCTTCGCACCTAAGTGGAAATAGTATGAACTACTGATTTTGCTTAAGCTAAAAACTCTGATAGAAATGTGAATGCACATGAACCGGCACATTTGATTCACACGAACAAATTCACCTAGTGGACAAAAGGCTTAAGGCCCCTGATATAGTACAGTGCCACACACTGTGACTCAAGATGTCACACACTGGAGCAAAGGGATTGTTCACGTTGCTTCAAATGGATAAATACAGAATGAATTTGCAAATGAAACAAATGTTTTAGACCAATAAATTTACATAATAGGAATTATTGGACTGTGTTTTTTTCATCTTTACTCGCATCAATTTCTGAATATTGTTTGCTATTTTCATCAGGTGATTCCATTGTAGTTGCTCCAAGCCAGACTCTCTCAAATGAGGAGTACCACCTTCTGCGCGAGACCGCCATTAAGACTGTGCGCCATCTGGGGATTGTGGGAGAGTGCAACATCCAGTATGCGTTGCATCCCAAGTCACTGGAATATTGCATCATTGAAGTGAATGCAAGACTGTCAAGGAGCTCGGCTCTGGCTTCTAAGGCAACCGGGTGAGAATGATGTGTAGTCTTTTATGTCTTATTTAAACTAAAGCCCCATTCCCACCTAGTCGCTCGAGTTCCACAAGTTAAAAACTTGCAGAACTTGTGACATTGAAAAAGGACCTCTATACGATTTTATCATGTTAGTTACGAGTTGGGTATGACCTTATGGAGTTGATTACAAGTTATGTAGGAATTATGCCGAGCGAAGCGCCAAGTTTACTACAAGATTATTACGAGCGCAACAAGTTTGTGCCGAATTAGAAACAAGTTAGCTACTGTACTAGCCAACTCGGTGCATTTCTGTGCAGTCGGTATGACCTTATGGAGTTGGTACAAGTTATGTAGGAATTTAATGAGAGCGAAGCACTAAGTTTAATACAAGATTATTACGAGCGCAACAAGTTTGTACCAAATTAGAAACAGTTAGCTAATGTACAAGCCAACTCGGTGCACTCGTACTTAACTTTTACTCGTTTTGGGTGGTCGCATCAAACTTGTGGATGACAAAAGCGCCGACGAGTATCTCAAGTAGTGTACGAGTTGAGTAGGGGTACCCTGAGTACTCTACGAGATACCTACAAGTTTTTAGAGTTTACTACAAGTTTTCAACTCGTAGCACTAATTTTAAACATGTTCAAAATTAGCGCCACAAGTTCAGAGCTGCTACGAGTAGGTAAGAGTTCTCACTGAATCGTTCTATTAGTTTTTGCCGAGTTTGCAACTCTGCAAACTCTTGTAATTCATATGCTGAAAAAGCCCAAGTGGGAGGGGGACTTACATGAACCAAACCAAATCAGATATAACAACAAATTTTTAAAAAAATTATAGGAACAATATGCTGTACCCCCTGAAGTCTAGATATGTCTAAAACCTTTTGTGTTGGGTCACATGTTTTATGCATACTGAATGAAGGAACATACATACACCTATGCAGGGTTCATACAGGTTTGGAAAGTCATGTAAAGTTATAGGAAACTGATCTAATACCCTGTTTAGACTACACTCTGTTGCGATTGGTTGCGATGTAAATAGTGGTAATCCAAAACTGATTACTCCCGATCGCAATCAACAAACGCATTCATACCAACACTAACAAACTTTACATTCTAGGGCCTAGGCTTCCGGTGGCTAGGCATATGTTGACTGACCTCAGCCGGACAGTGCCTGTGGAATTCATTGTGATTTGTTGCGATCGCATTTCGTGGCAATCGGGAATAATAGATTGTAGCACCCAATCGCAACGGGTAACAATTGTGATATCGATTACATATCGACTACTATTGGTGAGCTTTCACACACGATTTTACTTTGCGATTGGGTGTCGTATTTACTACAACTGATCGCAATGCGATGCTAGTCTGAATGGAGTATTAGTGTTTTCCAGGACCTTAAAAGTCATGGAAAATAAAAATTGGTTATGGAAAAGTTAAGGAAGCATTTGAAAATGTGGAAATTAAAATAAATTGCTTTCACTTTACATCGTTGCCACATGCACAGAAAAGTATTTTTTGTAATTTATTTTTAGTGATATATGGTTTTGGGAATTTAGGTTTGTTGTTATGGAAAAGCTATGGAAATGTCTGTGAACCAAGGTGTATAAATCCTGCCAATGTAGAACTAAATAACAAGAATCATATTTCTTATGTACTATCTTTCATTTGCATTATTATGCTACATAACTTATGTTGAAGCAAGCTGTTTTATTGTTATACATATTATATTATCACTTTATTATGCAGCTTGTTCGGATTTATGAAATTTATGTTTTCTTTTGTTTAGTTATCCACTTGCATTTATTGCTGCTAAACTAGCTCTCGGTATTCCTCTCCCTGAGATTAAAAACGCAACCACTGAGTCTACCACTGCCTGTTTTGAGCCTAGCTTGGATTACATCGTCACCAAGATCCCGCGATGGGATCTCGACCGATTTCAAGGGACCTCTAAACAGATTGGTAGCTCTATGAAAAGTGTTGGGGAGGTGAATTATTCAAACCATCTATTCTCATTCAGTTGAAATTTTTTTTATACTTATTGATTTTTTTGATAGTTTTAGTTTTGTACGTTTTGTTGTGTATTTAGCATTTTTTCCTTTTTGTTATAAAGTGCTTTTACCAGTTTGTTATGTAGAGTGCTATTCTATGCCACTGCCAAACATAAAAAGCAAAAATGATTTTTTAATTCAATTTAATTTTTGTTCTAACTAAATGATAATTGCTTAGTAACATTAATAGTATAGAAATAGTAAGGAATATATTAAGAATTGTCTCCAACACACTAAGTTGACACTGTTCAACCATCAGACAACATACTTTTATTTTAATTGTGAATATACTGTATCATTAAATAGTAACTTAATTAAGAAATAATGGTAATAATATTAATGATCAACCAACCATGTCAATTGTGTTGTTGAATTTTCATATGTAACTTGTTATGATTTAATTATTCTATTAAAAAGTATACCTTATAATCTTAATTAAACACTCATAATAAAGTCATGCTAAGTCAAAAATATAAATGATAATAATTAATCTGGGTGTATGTCATTGCTTAGGTTATGGCCATTGGTCGAACATTTGAAGAAAGTCTTCAAAAAGCTTTGCGCATGGTCCATCCATCTATCGATGGCTTCTCTCCAAAACTTCCAAATGGTAAACAGATGCCGCACGGACTAGAAGAAGCTATCAGAGTTCCCTCGAATACTCGAATCCACGCCATTGCACAGGTGAGTAATAAATTATGTGACTTGTTACCAGCTGTTATGCTAAATCATAAAGTATCTAGTAAGAATTAGCTTTGGTCACCAATACAAAAACTTCACATCTTATCAGCAAATTTAAGAATTGAATTGCTCACTTAATAACATGTACGTGAGAACTTCATCTAGCACTGCTGATTTATCAAATCTGTAACCTACCCAAATCTAGATCAAACAATTTCAAAGCATTTAATTTTATTTTATGCTGAAAAAGAAAATGTTCTATTATCTTAAAAGATAGATTAATATTAAAGGTACAAGGCTTTCTCCATTCTGACCACAAGGTTTGTTTCTACAGGCAATTCACCTTGGCTACGGGGTTGATAAAATCCATGAATGGACTGCCATTGATAAATGGTTTCTTCACAAGCTGGATAAGATTGTTGCATTGGAAAAGGAAATGGGCTTATATTACAGGTAGGTAAACTCCTTAATTTTATTTTGATTTATTTTTAAAGATCTAAATTTAGTGATTTATATTTGTCACGGATGGATCGTTAAAAAATAAATTTAATTAATTTATAAATAGTTATTGGCTTATATAGTGCTGAAATAAATGAGATAAAAATATGCAAAATAATATTTTTATCTTAATAGGCAAACAATGCCTAATGACTTGATGTTGCATGCCAAGCAAGCTGGATTTTCGGACAAACAAGTTGGTCAGGTACTTGATGTCAGTGAAGTGGCCGCAAGAGAGCTCAGGCTTCAAATGGACATTAAGCCATGGGTCAAGCAGGTATGCACAAACGGTCATTGGTTATCCATTCAACCAAACATGTGCACATAACATTGTGCACTGTTATATTATCACCATTATTATTATGCTGTTGTGTTTTTTGTTTTTTTTTGTTATCAGTATTACTACAAATTGCTTTTAATACTAGGCTAAACTTTTTTGATATATTTTCTCCTCCTGTAATTCTGTAATCTTTAAACACAAGACAAAAAAATCTGTTGTTAAATCATTTTTATAGATTGACACAATGGCAGCAGAGTACCCAACCAAAACAAATTATTTATATAATACATACAATGGAATGGTAAGTATTTTTTTTTTCCAATCTCTGTAGCATACTTTGTCGATTTTTATGCCTCCATGCTTCACATCAGATCTTGCATAACCTTTACTCATTCTGTATACTAATCCTACAGATTGTTAATGTTATCTCCACACGCACATCTCATACACCATGATTCCTCATTCACCTTTACTCAGTGTCCTGATGCCTCAGTGTACGACCCTACTGATTACTGACTTGAAATCAACTGTATCTGACTAATTTACTCTGATTATAATAATACTGTATATTAAATGGTAATGGTAATACTAGGGATAATACTGTATGCTGGAGCTCATGTTATAAGGGCTCTATGCACTGACATTGTACTTTTGAATGCTGTTCCAAAGTTAAATAGTAAGGTCATTAGATTCAGAAATGATGGTTATTGTCCTTCCATAAACATTGGTACACATTATCTGCACATGCCATGTAAAGTACATTTGGTGATGTACTACATATGGTATCATGTGCAAGATTGATTTTAATTTATAAATATTGTATTTTATGATCACTAAAGTTTTTTTTTTTTTTATCTAGGAGCACGATGTTGAATTCACTGATTATGGTACGATGGTCCTTGGATGTGGTCCCTATCACATCGGTAAGTACACTATATCAATGCTGGTATCTTTGCCGCTATAATTGCCATGCCACCATTGTTGCTATCGATGTCACCATAATTGCTACCATCATTGTCGCTATCATTTCATTTCATTTTTTTCTTTAGTGGTTGAAATATATATACAAAAAAATGTAAAATTCTAAATTTATCGTCATTTGGTTGGTGACTAAAGCTGCAATCGCACTTGACTTAAAAAAAGGAATATTATACCGAGACTGTGGAATAACATTCCTGTGGGTAAATCTTACCGCTGTTTGCACTTGGAGTTAGTGAGAGAAATGGTAAAACTACCAAGCCTTGAAAATTAACTATTGAGTTTGCTGATCCATGACCTTCCACAAAAAATGGCTGAATTCCAGGTCACAGTAATTTTATGCGTATGCGATTAAAAAAATAGGCCAGTGTAGGCCTGAAATGTCACTTATTGAGTGATGCTCAAAATAATCGAGAAGATGTTGGCATTGGACAGCTCTTACTATCTGGTATGTATTACTGGGCACAATCCACTTGGTTAACCCAACCACTTGTCTTGGTAATTTTTCCTGAAAGGTAAGTTTATTGGGCTGTTTGCTAACTAGTGCCTTGGATAATTTTACCTAAAAAATTCCTGTGCAATTGTGTGATGTTTGGTTTCCATTCTCAGGTTCTGGGTTAAAGTTACAAGAGTTTTCCTTTCCATAGCCATAAACTTGATTTTAATCAATGCTTACTTTGCTTAACTATATATAGGCAGTAGTGTTGAATTCGATTGGTGTGCCGTGTCCTGTATACGTTCACTCCGGGAAATGGGTCGCAAAACTGTTGTTGTAAATCACAACCCAGAAACAGTCAGCACAGACTTTGATGAATGTGATCGTCTTTACTTTGAGGAGCTATCTTTGGAGCGAGTTCTAGACATTTATGAACGCGAGGTAAATATTTTTTTTATCTTTAAAAGTTTCCTTTCATCTTATTATTGTAATTTAGTTAATTCATTCTAGGAATTTTTACATTTGTTCACTTGAAAGAATTTCGTCGTCCTTTGTGGAATTTGTAATTTGTCTCCATAGGAATTATTGATATCAAAGGAATATTTTTGTTTTCTGTTTGTTTCTTATTTGGACTTGAGATTGTCTTTGGTTTCGTTGGTCAGTTTTTGCCCTAATTGCTGGCCATAGCATCATACTTTGTGGACATGGTTTTTTCCAAGTATCTGTAATGTAATGTTATAGACATAAGCTTTCTTTATTTGCAGGCATGTAGTGGGCTAGTGGTATCAGTTGGTGGCCAAATCCCAAACAACCTTGCTCTTCCACTCTACAGAAATGGAGTTAATATTCTAGGAACCAGTCCACTACAGATCGATGCTGCAGAGGAAAGGTAAAATTTTATGCTAGAGGTTTTAGTATATGCCATATAACTCTCTGACCCAATCAACAGATTCATAAATAACTTTACTGATAACCAACTTAAGGATTTTTGTTGTAATCAGAAAAATGTTTTTTTTCAATAATTTGCTTAATTTCAATAAACAAAATAAGTTTGGGGGTGTTTTTTAAAATTGCACCACAGACTATATCTTAATTACTATCAATTTTACATTAACTTTGGCCTTATTTATGCCCCAGGTATGTACCTTGAGATCACATGGACGCTGTGAATATTTTATATGACAAAATATGGACCAGGGGACATATTTTTTCCAATACCGATCTCTTAGAACAGATTTCTATTCCAAAATGTTGGCAAATATGGTACTACTGCAAACTCAGTGAAAAAGAAAGAAAATATGAACACCTTATTCTACTACTACAGTGAACTAATTTTACTGTATCCTTTATGCTGCTATCACACTTCATGCTGATTAGTTGATTTAATTTATTTGATAATTGGCATACACATACAATAATATAGATAACTTGTGGACAATAAGACAAAAAACAATGTGCATCAAAAACACCCAAGCTACCCCAACCTCATGCTTCTGTAACCTTGTAGAAATATGACCGTATGCTACTGTGACCTCCTGTTATTTTGACCTTATGTTAATGTGAACTGTGACATCATGCTACCTGACATTTTTTCAGGTCAGTATTCTCTGGTATTCTGGATGATATTGATGTAAGTCAGGCTCCATGGAAGGCACTAACATCTCTGGTAAGTGTTTTATGAATTCCAAAATGCTGCAATGAACTGTTATGTTTTTGTCAAGAATGAGAGGATAGGAGCATACTTGGTGTGGAGCATGGTGTAAAGGCACACCAGTAGGGTTCTGGTGATGAATTGGGCGGTAGTCTAGGAGTACTTCAACTATTTTCCCAAGACTGTGTTTCATAACATAGTCATGCACATACAGTATATTGTACATGAGAATGTATACATTATGGTGCTGGAATCTACCAGTGGATTATGTACTCTGGTGAAACCTATCAAAGCAAATTTATCTAAAAGATTGAATTTAAACAAATGAAATACAGAACAGTGTAATTCAGTATACACTGATTTACAGATTTAATAATATGAAATTATTATTGTGATATTTATATAGCTTGTGTTCCGACACGTTCTATTTAAATGTAGCAAATTATTTGCTATTGTTTTTTATTTTGTATCATGAAGAACGAGGCATTAGAATTTGCGGCTAGTGTTGGTTATCCATGTCTTCTGCGACCTTCCTATGTGCTTAGGTAAGAATATTCATCTTTTAAAGTAATACATATTTCATCAATATTTACTATTATTTTTGTTGTTATTTGGTAGAAATTAATACAAAGTGATAAAGAATACACTAATAATAATTTAATAAAATATTACAAAGTAGCTACTGTATGTTTAACAGGAATTAAAAGAAAATATAGGGAATACACCAATTATGAGCAATTTTACATTGTACCATGTGGAGATCATTGGGGATTGGCAATCCCTCCTCCCTTTGCTCCTTTTAGGGGCATTGAAGAGTGATCCAGATGCAGACCTTTAACAAGTTAACTTAATACAACATCAATCAGTTAAGATATGGTAATACTGCACAACTACCCTCTGACAGTATAATAAAATGATAAAAATAGAACAAGCCAGTGTAAGAAAAAAGATTTACAGTAATTTGGACTTTCTTTCATATTCCTTTGTCTCTGAACATGGTTTTAACATCAGACTTCCTACCACCTTCAATTCTATTTAAACTATTGATGTTTATTTGAATTCGTTAGGATTATTTAAAACTAAAGTTAGAAGTTGTTTGTATGCTTAGACTTTTGCTGACATTTTTTATCCGTGTTTTGTGTTTCTTCGTTTTGTCATTGTTACATGTCTTCCATTCTTTCAAAGGCGGATATCTCGCTGTTGGATGTGAATTTAAATAAAATAAATAAAAATTTAAAAAAATATATTTTTGAAGAAATGTATAAATGACACCGTTGATATTTCAAGTGGGCACTTCATTGGTCTTTTCCTGCATTATGAATAAATGGTGTGTCTTTAAATATACAACTTTAAATTTTTAGTGGATCTGCAATGAATGTGGCTTATGGACCTGATCACCTCCGTCAATTCTTGGAAGAGGCATCGAGGGTCTCCCAAGAACACCCAGTAGTCATCACCAAATTTGTAGAGGGCGCTAGAGAGATTGAAATGGATGCTGTAGCCAAGAATGGAGTGGTATGATTATTCTAACACTAAGTGCAAATCATTATAATGTTCTTTGACATGAAAGCAGCTAGTAACTTGTCAATTGCACAAGAAAAAATTAAATCAAAATTCATCTTTATTGCAATCATAGCATAAATATTGTGATTGGATAAATCAAAAACAGTATTCAAATACACATTCAAAGATGTCAATTAGATAACATACAAGAAAAATACCAAAAAACACCAAGAAAAATAAACATTATTGCCGAAGCCCCATAAAGATTAAGGAAAATATTTTACATAAAAAGATTTCATTTTGTTGTTTTATTTACGTAAATTTCAATTTGAATTATAAGCACATTATCAATTGTTTAAAAAAATGTAAAAGGTCAATATTCAATAAGTAAACAAAGAGGCATAAGAAAAAACATGAAGATAAAAATTCGAATTCCAATTATTAAAAATTGAAATATATTGAAGTAATACTCCTTTATCAGTTAATTAAAAAAAAAAAGTAAATATTCAAAAAGTAAACAAAGGATCAGAAGAAAACTGTTTGATGCTATACTAAGTCATGTTAGTAATGGATTAATTGTAATGAAGGGTAATATTACATTGCCTTAATTGTAATGTTGTAATTGGATTTATGTAAAATACACAGTAGAATTTTCCAAAGTTTTTTCGAATTATTATTCGTCATGACAAGCAACCATTTAATTGCGTCTGTTAATTGTGATGCCTATAGGTTGCCTGCCATGCCATAACAGAACATGTTGAGAATGCTGGTGTCCATTCTGGTGATGCCACACTGATCCTGCCAACACAGACCATCGGAAAAGAGGCTCTTCAGAAGGTCAGTCATTACCATAGAGGCTTTTTTCATGCATTTCTTCTAAATTAAAATTTTAAAGTATGAAATTAGATGTCTTTTCCATAACTCATTCATTTCCATTTGTTTTGCTACAGTTTGTTGTCAAGTAACTGTCAGTATAAAATTATCTTTAATATGATAAGGCTATGTTAACACACTCCAGCATGATCCGGTTAAATAACATACGCACTCACCTTTGAGTTTATACAAGAAAATCCCTGATCTGTATATCAATAAAGATGACGGTGGGATCACTGGCCAATAGGACACTGGAAATTGGAAATTCGTATGTGTGATTAGTTAATGATAGAAATACGCTCAACTTGCTAACCGATAGCGCTCACTAACTGTTATCGTATCCAAATCCTGTAACAGTTAGCGCTAACCGAGCAGGTATTCTCACACTGGTGCTAACGGTTAGCTCCTGATGCGGTTACTAGGGCTCTAGTGTGAACCTAACCAATGATAATTTTAAAGAAAAGGGTATTTAATTTAAACCCAAGACTTCCTGATTACCGTATGAGTACTCTACCAACTGTGTTACAAGGCCAAGAACTGATAAGTGATTATCAAAGCAAGAGAACTCTCAGATCCTTGTCGCAGCGATTCCTTTCTCTACCAAGAGCACCTGCAACTATCACTTACGAGGATGCATCATTTCCCATATCATCTCCTACTCTTAGGAATGGACTTCCTGTCGATATATGTGATGCCATCAGAGTCGGACAGTTCAAACCAAGATTAAAAACCCATCTTTTTGTTTCTGCCTTTGGTGAAAACTAAATTCTCATGTTTCTTCAGTCGCTTATTGTATTTTTTTTTTTCTCTCACTCTCTCTCTTTCTCTATCTTGATTACAAATGTGACTGCTCCTTCTCTAGGGGCCACTATCTTATCACTGCCCCTGAGTACCCATTCGTCTGTGGCAGGGCAAATGTGTAACCTGCTCCTTTGTTCGCACCACCTAGGTAGAGGTCTGGGACTGCGCCGAACAGTGATGGATGGTTGACCCTTTAAGACCTTGCGTTGTTTACCATGACACATTGTAATTTCACAATTCTTTGAATTATAAACCTTTTATTAATTAACGATTAAATGATAAAATGATGAAATAAATAATGATTAATATGTTAAGTGCATAGAGTTTTAGATATGCGCTATATAAATATACAATAATAATAATAATAATAATAATATTAATAATACGCATTTGATTTTTTCCCAATAAATGCAAATTCATTGGGAATACCACATATTAGAAATGACAGTCATTGATAAGTCCTTTACAATTAGAATAGTTTGTCATGGAATAAAAGAATCTATGTACATTATTCTTTAAGGTGAGAGATGCTACCAAAAAAATTGCCAGGAGATTTCAGATTTCTGGACCTTTCAACATGCAATTTTTGGCCAAAGACAATGATGTCATGGTAAGTGTATATTACTCTTCAACTTTGTTGATGTATTATTTATTTTTGTCCCAACCTAGAATTTTTAGATTTTGAATCCATTGAGCAACACAAATACTAATTTTATTTCTTATTTATTCAAGATGAACCTAAGAAAATACTGTAATATATATTTTAGACCTTCAGAATTATAAATCAGGATCAGTCAGGACCTAGGTTTCATGGATAATTTTTCTTATATTTGTTTTTTAATCTCACCTAATAGTCACTTACTTATAGGTTGAATCAACTCTTAGGAAAAAAAATAGTGCATGCAAGATTTGACTCCATGTTTCTGGGATTATAATCCTGGTATCTTAACCACCAAGTTACATCTCCACTCTATAAACTTTCATTCAGAATAATTAAGTTGATGATGTCATTCTTTTGATGTCATTCTTTTTTATAGGTCATTGAGTTGAACTTGAGGGCATCAAGATCCTTTCCATTTGTCTCAAAAACCATCAACTGTGACTTCATTGACATTGCAACTAAAATTATGGTCGGAGAACCAATTGACACCGGTATTCTCCCAACACTGCAGCATCCATTCATTCCAAAAGATTATGTTGGAATCAAGGTATTTGAATTTTGATGCCACATACCTTGTAATTATTATATATTGTTAGTATCAGCCTCTTGGATGGAAGTGTGCATAATTTTCCAAACACTGGGCCGCCAGACCTGTGCCCAAGAACAGCGTAGCCAGGATTCCCAATTCCAGCGGTCTGGATAATGCTAAAGGCCTAAGGGCAAGCCCCAATGGGTTTTGGAGTGAACCCTCGAAGCTACGGCTTTTTACGTAATTTCTGACATAATAGATATATTAGATCTTGAGAAAAACACTTTTTGCTTAGCCTAGGCCCACCCTCTCAATGCTATTGCCCACACATGCGTTAAGAGGGCTTTCATGGATACACCTTATGCAGAGTCAGATCATGGTTTGTCAAATATGTTTACAGCCTAAAGCGGTGATCACAAAAGAATGATTCAAGATAAGCATTCACAAACATATATACAAACACAAATATGTGTGTATGATATGACTAATTATTATTTTCATTATCCATTAGTATTATTATTGTTATTGTTGTTATGTTTTTTTCTGAAATGTGGCACTTATTTTAACAAAAAATATAATTATGCAAGATTAAGATGTTTGTAATGATTTTGTTTATGTTATGATGCAGGCTCCAATGTTCTCCTGGCCTAGACTCAGGGATGCTGACCCACTACTCAGATGTGAAATGGCTTCAACAGGCGAGGTAATTATAGTTTTATGGTGAGATAATGGCGATAATGAGGAAGAAGATTCTAAAGTTGCGGATGATGATGGAGGTGAAGAGGAGGATAATGGTGACACAGACAAGGGTGATGGTGACAAAGCTTGTGTTGATGAAACTTGCGTTGATGAGATGGCGATGGTAATGATATTGAGAATGCTAAGGATGGTGAAAAATGATGATGATCCAATTGAAGTCTATTGTTCCCTGCACACAAGGGTTAAAATGTGTAGATAGAAGATTAAGATTGTACATAAGATGATGAGAATGTAAATGCTGAGGATATTGATGGTGGTGATGAGGTTGGGAATAATGAGTTTGATTAAGATGAGGGTCATGATGAAATTGAGGATGACGATGATGATGACAGCAGCCAGCTGGAATGATGGCGAGGTCGACTCTGGTGCGAATGTTTGAGGATGTTAAAGAAAATAACGCAGTAGAGAATGACAAGGGAGACAAAGATAAGGATGTTTTTTTATATTTAAACCATATCCAGCAGGAGGTGATCATTTGGGACCCTAAAAAAATTGTGATGATAAGGATGGTGGTGATAGGAGGGCTAACAGAAGGGAAAGATGGGTTGGCTACGTTTTTTGGGATAATCCAAAAAATGGGTAGATCGGTAGGAATTTTTTAGTTTTTTCCCCCCCAAAATGTGTTTATGCCTAAAAAGTAGAAAATAAACGAAAAATCAAGAAAGACCATTTTTAAGTCTATATGTAAAATCAAAACGATTGCATCACTGTCTCATCACCTACCGTCCAGCAAAATAGTCTTATTCCAGCCTTTTTGTCATTAAAAAAAATATATTTGTTGTAGACCAAAAAAAAACCTAAAATGCCAAACCTCAATTTCGTACATTTTGGGTCGGTTAGGCCAACATAATAATTTATTTTGTTTGGCCTTATTGAACAGATGATGAGGAAAACTGTTCCCTGAAAACTGTTACTGATCTTTTTTTTAAATCCATACATAGAGGGTGACCCTTCCAACGTATCCTGATATTCACAGGCCCTCTTAAATGAATGAAATAATGTGATGCTTTATCAGCGAAGTCTCATTTTTGTCGCGAGAAAAAATATCTTGTACCGTCACAAGATTTGAACCCAGGACCCTGGGATTAGAAGTCAAGCACATTAACAACAAAGCTACATCTCCGCTTCCACTTACTGTAGGTTGCGTGCTATGGTCCAAATATTCACACAGCATTCCTCAAGGCACTCATGTCAACTGGATTTAAAGTTCCAAAGAAGAACATAATGATTGGCATTCAAAAGTACTTTCAGCCAAAGTTTCTTCCAACTGCTCACAAATTTCACCAAATGGGATATGAGGTAAGTTTTTTTTTTAAATTTATTTTGTTATTATATCTACTGCCGACAGAGAAACTCTGTAGATGGTTGGAGTAACAATAAATAATATTAAAATAATAATTGTTTACTAATTTCACTTATTTTAATAACTTATTTTAATTTTAAAGTAAAGTAATAGCTAGTTGTTAAATTGTGTGGGGTATATTTTTGAATTTGGGATATAAAATATTCTAACGAGAGCAATGTAAAATCTGGATTTGTTTGTTATATTGTTATTATAATTATCATCATTGTCTTTATTACGATGCTTGTTCAATCAGTATCATTCATTATAAGCTTTTTTTTAAAATTTTTGAATTTTTTTAATGAATGATTTCTGCACTACAAAATGTGTTCAATTACATTCTCTTAAGCTTGTATAAATTAATAATGTAATTGGATTCAGTGCAGTTATTGAAACAATCTGTAACCTAAATCATTTACTTGTGTATTTCATGGCAGAAAGACAGGCGAGTTTAGGTCTAATTATATGCTGCCCTCGCTTATTAAATGGCAACATGTTAGTTGCTTTCCAAACAACAATTCATACAGTGTTATGGCCTGCAGAATTGTATTTTTTTGGTTGCTTATGTTAAAGAATTCATCCTGTTGTGCTTTCTTAAAAGTGCGCTCTCTGTTTATTCAACTTACTCAATCTGTATGCACTCACTAAAGTGCATACACTCCCCCACTCAAATCCCCCCCCCCCACATTTAAAATGTCCAAAGCAGAAAAAAAATCGTGTTCAAGTACTTAAAAATCACCTCATCACCTTATTTTGCAATTTATCGCCTCTTCATTTATTCATCGAGCCACCCAGTCCACTTTCTTCACCCCCCCCCCCCCAATATGCCACTGGTTTGCTAATTATGGATTCAGTGGCATTAAATAATAACATCTTCCTTCCCTTGGCAAAAGGTGTAATGTAAATCCTTATTACTATTTCATCTGAATTGTATTGTTTTTGGACAATGAGACTGGCAGTTAAGAAACAAATGCAAACACCTATTAAGGGGGACACCTCAATTAAGGGGATGGGGACAGTTTCTGAGTGTGCAGTATTGTCAAATAACCCCTATTAAGGGACACTATTTTTAACAACTACAGCAGTCTCAAAATAAGAAAAATTTATTCAATTGTATATTTTGACACCTTTTCAGCAATAAACCAAAACTTTCTTTCCTGAATCCGTAGAGTAAATGTCGGTATAGGCCTACTGTATGTGTTACATCCTACTGTGTAAACCGATCTTGTCAATTTTCGACCGTCAACCATGGAATTTCTTTATTTTTGGGGTTTTTTTGTGTGCTTTCATATAGGATTCAAATCTATACCTGCACCCTTAATTCTAAGTCATAACACTATCCATGCTACATCCATCCAATAGAAAGCTCAATATATTTAAAAAAAAAAATTGGTCATTAACCTGGCATCATGAAATAATTCTGGGAACAATACATAGAAAACTATTGTTGTTTTACAGCTTAGCATCTGATTATTAAGTGCACTGTTTGCTAAAGTTTATATCTGAATAGATGTTCAGTCTTCAAAGGTTCTGGGTGTTTCGATGAATCATAGTTTCAATAAAAATCCAGTAATAAAAAAAATATAAGCAGAAACTACTATAAAGAGAGCAATAGAATGCAGATGGGATTTTCATTGTTGTATCAGGCGACGTCATTTCATCAATCAGGATATAAACACATATGAAACCTTCTCAGAATTTAAAATAACCAATTGAAAAGCTAAATTAAAAAGAATTTGACCTCCCTTGTAAATGAACAAATGCAAGTCTGTCCGTTCCACTTCTGTGAAGAGGCAGAAACATTTTATAATTAACCTTTACATGTTAGAATTGAGAGTTGAAACATGCGCAGGATTAATCGTATGAGGATCTCGTGGCCAAGTGTGATCATTTTATCTTCTGTCGTATCCTGCCAAATACTTTAATGGCTATTCCATTCAAATTGATACTTAAGATTTAACATAGGATTCTGCACTTCCTCCTTTATTAGTCTTCCTTGACATGATGTTCTCGCATCTAACGATGCGATTGTAGTCAGTTTTCTGTAGTAAGGTATAATCTATTGAAAGCGAATTTTTTTATCCTCAAAATCCCCATCACAAATTTTTCTATTTCAGTTACAAGCTATCCTCGTTGCATGCATGGCTCACATTTCATTCTTTTTCTTGGCTGAGTTGTGAATGTTAGCAATAAAGATACTATATGTGTTGAGGTGAAGCACTTCAGCAATAAAACCTGATTTGTTTTACATTTCATATTATTATTAATAATATTTTAATGACATGACACCTTCATAACAGGTGTAGCACACCAATAGTGATGCAGTCACACTTCATGCAGATAAAACTAACAATTAATAAAACAACTTTTAACAGATTAAACTTACAAAGCAACAATGTAAACATTAACTTGTTTTTTAAATCAGACTTTAATTCTCTCCAACACTAACTTATTTTATTTTTTACAATTTTTAACTTTTCAATTACTTGTATAGAATCATCACAAATAACTGAAGTATTATCCTTACCCAACTCCCCTCCCCCTCTCCAGTGACAAGGTTAGGCTTCAATAGTAGATTCATTGAAAGTGTTTCAGACTGATCACAAACCTGAAAGATGTGTTTTAAAGTGGATAATTCTGTTTTCCTTCCAGTAAAAAAATTGTTAAAAAATTTTTTTTTCACTTTGGTATAGGCAGTTTCTCTTACTTAACCCATGGTTACATGTGTTCCAAAATATATTTTTTCAACATTTGTCAAAGACAGGACAAACATAAACATTTCCCTTTTTAACTCAATTTTTATTTCTTTTTTAACACGTTCGCTGCCAGCGACAAATATACTTGTTCCACGGGTGTTGCTGAGGGCGCTATGGGTGATTATACTCATCAAAACCAGGTTAACAATCATTCTGTCGTTTATTACTGCATTGTTATACATTGTAGAACCACAGACTTAACGGCCGATAGTTTGGGGAAGATACTGTACACCTAGATAATAATGCACAAATAATGTACTATATATGTATATTTGTTGAGTTACGTTGCTGGCAGTACAAAAGATTTCACAAGTGGGGGCCCCCTCTGAACATGCAAAAAGCAGATGAGAAAACTTGCAATGTCCCATTGCCAGCGACAAGTTTGCTCGTCCCCTATTATTTTCCCGCCAATTTATTAGACACACCATTTTGATAAGGTAACTTGATAACATTTCAATAAAGTATGTTTGTTTATGTATACTTGTTTTGCCACACAGGTCAAAAAAAGTCTGGCACTGGCAGGCAATGTGTTAAAGACTGTTATCTAATCCCCATCAGTGCAATTGTCTTCAAATTTTGTGCACTAATTTTCTATTAGTATGTGATTTTTATATTTCCTATTGATTAGAAGAATATTTGTTTTGTATTAGTGTTTCTGCCTACTTTTCCCATGTGACATGCAGACAATGCATTCAATTTGAATCCAAGCACTCTCTCAAAATTCTCTGGCTATCCAAGAATATGTGATAAATTTAATGTTTTTATTGTAACCTTACAACAAAAATAAGACAAACTTATATAAATACACTGAAAAGGCATTTAGTTTTTATAGTTTCCTAATACAGTAACTGATAATGTAGTCACATTTTTGATGATTTAACAGTTTATTATTTAAAACATACAGCTACTATAGAAATTAAGTGCATACTTAATTTATTTCTCCATTATGTGTCTCGAAAAATGTACTTCGCGGCCGGGATCTCATGGATGTTGACAATCTGCTAGAGATCAATGATTCTTGGTACCTACGATTATGTGGGTCACTGGTTTTTTTCCTGTATCTAAAATGATATTTCTCAGTGCCAGGGATGTTGGTGGTCAGTTACTGCAATTAATGGTTCATTCAGTTGATTTAAGTGCACATCTGTAAGGGTTAGAATCATCTCAGCACCTACGATTATGTGGGTCAGTGATTCTTCCCATATCTTGGATGATATTTCTCGGTGTCATGGATGATGGTGGTCAATGATTGCAATTAATGGTTCGTTCAGGTGATTAATGCACATCTGTAAGGGTTAAGTTCATTTGTGATCGCCTTCATGTCCATTGTTTGTCACATGTGGCTTAGCTTGAGATCCGGATTGCTTTTTGACATTAATGAGAGAGCTTAAAGAAGAATGTTTGATCGCATTTCAACAGACAGCAGCAATTATAGATTACTTCTCTCAATGATGAATCACTTGATTTATTATTTCTTTTTAGAAATCGGTTTTTCGATGATTTCTTCAAATTAGAATGACCTTTGCTATAAAATATCCCACCAGCCTTTACCTTAAAAAACTTCATAATTCTATGCTTTTGCCTCTCAATAAATACATTTATTCTTTTCAAAAATCAGTTATATCTATTTATATTAATTATATAATTTATAAATATGTTATTATTATTAATTGTTATCTTTGATCCCATTTCAACAGAAAGAAGCATGAAATTATAGATCCTTTTCTCAATGATGAATCACTTGATTTTTTTTCCTTTTTTATAAAACTCTGTTTTTTTCAATGATACTGTATCTTCTAATTAGAATGACATTTGCTTATTATAAACTTCACAACAAACTTTACTTAAAAACTTAATAAGGAATTTTGCCTCTTGATAATTGTATTTATTCTTTTATAAAACTAATTATTATTTATATCTGTGATTATATCATTTATATTTTATTAATAATTGTTATGTTTACTGATATTATTGCATTTGCACATATTAGTTGGTATGTAGAATGCCCTTAGCATTATTTTTTTTAATTTTTTTTAATTTTTTACTATAATGTTGGTGAATTTATCATTATTATTTTGTAATTATCAATTGTATTATATTAATTTAAAGAATAGATTACAGGCACTTAGAAAGTATCTTTCTTAGAACGACCTTGATATATATCATTGATACATGTTGCCACTTCATCATCAAACTTTCTGTGAATTGTTTTATTACTGCTTTCAAATTGCAATCATTTAGTGATCATTTTCGAATGGATTTGGCACTCTAGTTCACCTTTCAAGTATAAATCAATTATCTTCATGGAATACACTTGCAGTTTATGTTCTACTTGCAACTAAATTCCTTTGAAAATCGTAAATGTATTCTAGTTTATAAATGAAGTGGTATTGTATTGACTAATACTAAAAATTGATGACCTGAATTCAAGATACTGTTCAAAATATCGATTTAGTGGTGATTTGAGCGCGTATTACAAACTGTTTTGTTCATACTTATCAAAGCTAATACCGGTAAATATCAAGTAGTACATGATTCAAAACACTCTTATTATTTGAATTTTCCTTATTTAGCATGATTATATTGAATGGTGATGATTTTGACAGTATGGTGGCGGTAGTGAAATTTTCTTCCTTATCTTTATCGCAGTCAGTGTCATCATTTTCCATTTTATAACTAGAGTTATATAGTTACAATAA